GAGCCAATGTTGCGTTTATGCGGAGCAGTTAAAGTGCACTCCTTGCAACATGATCTGCAAAGCAGGCTCATGTGCTAAGGAGGATAGTGTTGGATACAGTCTGCAAAACAGCCCTGTTCCGTCCTGTTTATGATACATGTCTCAGAGCTCACAAAGTGGTACCTCAGAATTGTAAGAGGCATCGAAGTCTGTTCGCAGTATCTACGTACATGCGGACCACCCTTTGCGACCCTGATCAGTGCAACCTCACCTGGATGATCATGGTGTCAACTTTGTCCGGCGAGAACTTCAGCTTGAAACGGGACCTGGCTTCGGATTGGGAATAGGGGCCTCGAGTATAAACTAAACCCTGAAAAATGCAATCCTTAGTCCAAACACCCCTGAATACCCCTCAAGAAGCCCTTCTTGTTGAGAGCGTGGGGCTGGCCTTGCCCACGCCCGAAGTCCCAAACCAGAGCAATCTCAGTCCTAAACCCGAAGCCTGAACTCAGTAAAAAGCTCCGAAGATCCCCATCCCACAGCCGAGGCGCAGCGTGTGGGCTAAGCCAAGAGACATTGCCTTCACCTGTGGGGAATTTCTGGGGTGTTCAAGAACTTGTTGGTGTTTTTGTAGGTGCGCAGAAATCTTTCTGCGATGTAGAAGACTCCATATTATGACTCTATGAAGGTGGTCCGACAGTGGGGGCTTGGACTGGCTCTGACAAAAACACCCATCAACACAAAGCAATGGATTCAAGGTGCCAAGAATTGGAGCTTGTCGTCTGCAACTAGTGCATGTCGCAAGTTAAAGCCTGCCGAGCCCAATCAAGGAGCGCTTCTTTTTAGCGGCCTCCTGCTCATCGAGGCCCTCGATCAGCTCAGTCCTGAGACGGAGAAAAGCCGCTGCCTGCTGATTAAAGTGACAGTCGACTATGGTGACTATGCATCTCCCCCTTCTCAGATCCGTGGTATTTCAAAGGACACGGAAGGTCAGGCGCCTGTCCGAAAGCCTTCGTGTGGATAACTGGGGGCTGTGAGTGCAGTGTGAGTTATTCAATGACGGTCGTCGAGAGCCGGACAAGTGCAACCGCACGCCGCGCATGATCTCCTTCAAGTTCTCGCTGAGAACGCTCACCTTCGCAGCGTCCCCCCTCCAGGCCCTTTCCATAACGGCTTACAGACTCGGAGATGCATCGTGAAACCTGACCCGTTCCGCCGTACCAGGGATGTCTGAAAGCTTGGGCCGATGCCTCCAAACCGAGCTTCTTGTTGATGTTGACGCCGAGCGATTTGTCCAAGACCTCGACATGAGAATGGGCAGGAACAGCAAGCGAAGATACTACTACTACTACTACTACTACTACTACTAGTAGTAGTAGTACTAGTACTAGTACTACTACAAGTACTACTACTACTACTACCACCACCACCACTACTACTACTCCTGCTGCTGCTGCTGCTACTACTACTACTACTACTACTACTGCTACTACTGCTACTGCTACTACTGGTTGTAAGAGCAATACTACTACTAGTCGTACAAGTAGTACTAGGAATACTAGTAATACTAGAAATACTAGTAGGCGCAGGGTTGGTTGGAGGCGCCATGTCTTTCTTCAACTGAGTGTGTTGTTTCTCTATGTTTAAGCTGTCTTTACTTGTTCCAAGGAGGTTGCATTTTATCTGTGTTGTCTGTGTCACGTGTTCAACAAGTTTGGGCCTGGTGTTCATCGATTTTTGCAAAATTCACGTTTTTGGTGGATACTGCTTTTCTGCATTTCCAGTTTTTGCATGGTTTGGGGGGCTCGGCCTTGTTATCTTGTCTGTGTTACGTAATGGTAGTGTTGGTAGTGTTTGAATTTGCTATACCGAGGAGTTGTGTTGCTGTGATAGTTGGATGTCGACGATGGTGATGACGATGATGATGTAAAGCGATAACGGTAGGTCTCCTATACCGCGCTGACTTATATCAGAACTCCCTATCACCGAAGGCCCTCCTGGAACCGTTGAAAGATTACAGTGCCCAACTCGAAAACGTAGAAACTCGAAGGCTCCAACACGCAGAAAAACGGTATCCACTTAAAACGTGAAATTTGCCCACATCGACGAAAACTAAGCCGAAACTCGAGAAATGATAGCATTCAGCAGTTCTTGAAAAGGAAAGGCAACCCTCCGGAACGAGTAGAAAAAGCTTAAGACTCGAGCAATAACACACTCAAACGAAGAACAACACGGCGTCACCTACCAGCCCTGTACCTACTAGTAGTACTAGTGGAAGTAGTACTGGTAGTACTAATGGGGCTGGGACTACTAGTACTACTAGTAGTGCTAGTAGTACTCGTACTGCTAGTACTGCTAGTACTACTAGTACTACTAGTACTGCTAGTACCACTAATACTACTAGTACCCACTAGTACTACTAGTAGTAGCAGTAGCAGCTGCACTAAACTACAGGGGTAGTCGTGGTGGTAGTCGTGGTTGTGGTAGTGAGTAGTAGTCGTAGTGGCAGTGGTAGTGGTAGTGGCTGGTGGTGGTAGTGGTTGTATGTGGTAGTGGTAGGAGGAGGAGGAGGAGGAAGAGCAGCTGTTGTTCGTGTTGTGGTTGTTGTTGTTGTTGTTGTTGTTGTTGTTGTTGCTGCAATGCCGTTGTTGCTATGCTGTCGTTGCTATGCTGTTGCTGCTACGTGGCTATGTTGTTGTTGTGGTCGTGTTGTGGTCGTCGTGGTTGTTGTGGTTGTTGTGGTTGTTGCTGTGGTTGTTGTGTACTTGTTTGTTGCTGCAGTTGAAGTTGTGATTGTGGCTGTAGTTTATGTTGTGGCCGGGTGGCATCAGACGCAGGCTGAGAAGGAATAGTAAGACAGGGGCAAACAACAACCCATGGAGACCTGAGATCGGGACCGCGAGGTTCTCTGTGAGCCCTGCATCAACAATGCTCCTGAGAGACTGTCCCTCTCGCTTGGGGTGTGGACTCAAGGTTTCTGGCTTTCGAATTCAGCCGAGGACCTTGCTTTTTCAGGAACTTTTTGAGGCCTTTCCCGACAGTGCCCTCCGTCAGCTCGGTGCACGCCTCTTCAAGCAAGCCAGGCAAGATCAAGAAGCACCAGCTACTGTCAACCTTGCCGACAAGAGCCTTGCGACTTCCACCATAAGAATCACTTCGCCCCGAAGCAATCCGCAAACCCCGGGCCTCCATTGCCGCTTTCGTGTCCTCGAACTTGTGGAAAGCCGTGAGACTGACCTGCCGCCTCGAAACGAGACTTCTGCTAGACGTTGAGGAAGCAGAGCTACACCCACTGGCACGGCGATGTTGTCTACCACTACTACTGATAGCACTGCTTTGACATTCTAGTACTTGCTTTCCTTTTCACCTCTGCAGGATAATTCCGTCCAGTTGTTCACCTCTCCTCCTTCCCCTCATCATCAACCTCCCGGTCCTCCAACCTCCCGGCACGAATCTACTTCTGTTCGCCCCATCGTTCTCGTGGTTGCCATGGTTGTTGGACTTCAGACTGATGCCGAACCCTTGATCTTGAACGTTTTGCTGCCAACACACTACTCCTAAGACCGTTGCGTCCTTGCGCGCCTGCACTGACTCAGCTCACCATGCTGATCAAGGGCGTTGTGACTACGCTGTCACTACCACTACCTCCGCGCCAGCAGTGTCATGTATGCTATATTTCAATATGCCTCTTCTGCTACAAGCATACATTTGTGGATTGAGTCCAGGCAGAAGTGTCAAGCTTCGCTGGGCGAAGGACTATGTTCCTGTTGAAACTCCTGACAGTCGCGACCCCTGGTCAGTAGCCCACCTTTGCTACCACCATCGCATATCCGAGCCGCTGTGCGTCCGCGCTGGTCTTGAAGGAGTCGTATATGGACTCAGGGTCTGCCTGGCGGGTGGAACGGTCAGCTCGTCATTTCTTCAAGCGAAAACGCACTTTGGCGAGGTCGCAGTCCTGTCACTGGTCGACGACAAAACACCAAGTTTCAACCTGTCACAACCGTCAACATCCGTGCCTTCAGAAGCTTCTTGTTCTTAAGGGAGAACAACGCATACCTGACGGAAAGAGCTGATTAGCATCGTGTTCGTGTTGTGGTGATCGTGCCATTGTTGTGTCATGCCTTGTCACCGGACCTAGTTAGTATGACGTATATCAGTACGAACCAGTGTCGTTGCAAAAAAAGAATGTGAGCCGTGTCATTCGTATGAGTGTTGTTGTTGGTTCGCAACTTATTGGGCCTCTTTCTTCCAGGATTTGGCCGAAGTTGCAGGTGATCCGTGCCACTGCGATGTTTCTGCACTGTGACTACTTTTAGAAACAGCCTTTTCTTCTTGCTACTAGGCTTTTTTTGACTTGCCTCGTAAACATAAACGAATAATGTTGCTTTCTCCACTACTTTGTCCGAAACACTGCTTAGAATACGTACTAGCAGTACGGATACATTATTCGCAGCTTCTGCCCACATCACCCCCAAAAGAACGAGCAAAACACGGTTGCAACGTGAGGAAGACTAGGAGAAGGAAGAGTACGAGCCGCGACAGCACCACTATTGACTACGGCGCCGCACTCGAATCGTCCTTGCTGCAAATTGCATTCTCATCCGGATCATGTTCTTTACCCCGGAACACTTGAAGCGGACACAAATGTTAATGATGACCATGATGCTTACTTTAACTTACTTTACGATAACGACAAAGACTCAGGTCACTATAATAATAGTTAATTGTGTTAGATATGGTTAGGTTGATTAATCCCATGACACATTAGCAAAACAGATTCTGGGTCCCGTGATTCAGTGATTCGGGGCTTCGTCTGTTGTTCAGCTGGGTCCCGAGCCCCGCCGGGGTTTCCAAGAGCAGCAGCATGGAGCCCAAGCTGCCGTCACCTCTGATGGAGTCTTAGTGAAACTTCTAACCATTTGGGCGGCTGCTGCTTTGAACCCGATGTACCCAGCACAAACGGTTTCCTCGTTTGCCCTAGTATCTGCGGCAGAAGCACGTTGGCGTCAGCCGCCGTAGTTGCAGCTGGACTTCTTCGGACTTTGCAAGCGATGCATCGTCAGATGCTCGAGCCCAACACACGCAGCCCGACCGGAAAAGAAAGACATTGCGTCCATTCCGTTCGATACGGCACGGGAGTCGATTTTCGACTGAGCACACTGTAAACAGCTTCCTGGGTTGGATCTTGAGAGGTCGGTGTTCGGTTTCGCGAAAAGTGTTCGTTTTCGAGAAAATTGCAAAACTTCTCTGTTCAACACACAAACTTTTCAATTTTTATCTCGATGCATATTCATCGTCACGGCAGTTTTGAATTCAGTCCCGTCGGCATCGGAAGCTAGCTGTCCACACCGCACCGTGGTGGACTTTGGAAGAACAGATGGCAAGCAAGCTGCGTAACAACAGTGACAACCAAAAGCAGTTCTATGTAGGCTAGCACTGCTCCAGCACTCTGGAAGCATTTTTTACCTGTAGAATTTCTGTCACTACGACCGCCTGCGGTTTATGGACTTGTCATTCACATGTTCTCGTGAACATGACTGCACAATAGCATATATCAAAGACTTGAAAATTTTTTTGGAACACGTAGGGCTCTGTCAGACGAGCCCATCAGCACCGACCGTTCCTACTTTTTTTACTGGTTGCTTAAATTGTCGCCTTGTGCACTACTTGTGTCCAAAAATGCTTATTCTGGCACCCCGGATGCGTGTCCCGACCCTGTTGAGGTGTTTGCAAGTCGATATTGTCGTGCGTCGGCGCGACATCGGAAAGGAGGTTGTCTGTTCTTTGTGCCGCCTGGGTCATGCACGACCCCCTCCAATGGACTTTGGGGCGTCCTCGGCGATTTGGAGCTCAAACTAACATGTTTATGTGCGTGTGAAATCATGTACGAGCATTTATTTTAATGGCCCGGGATGTTCTCTAGACTATGTGAACTACATGTACAGCAAAGAGAGGACAGCCGCTCTTTGTTTTTTCCCGCGGAGTGTGCAAAGAACTGTGATGCGTTTCGAAGCAGAGCTTTGTCTGGGCAATGCGATGCCAGGAAGCTATCCCCCTCTTTAGTACACAGTTCGAGCACTTCTCAGGAGAAAAACCCCCCACCGCGCGAGGTGGAGAGCTGTGTACCTGCGGGCACGAGAAAGGAAGCAAGTGCAGGGAAGCAAGAAGGGGCACGCAGTGCAACTTGTTTTACGCAAGCAGCGCGAGCCTTTTTAGGTGTGACGCGCGTTTCACAAAAAGCTCTGTTGAAAGCAGAAGCTCAGCGGAGCATGGCAGTCTGAGCCTGGCGAAGGCTGATGGGCCATTCGAGCGAGGCGTCATGCAATGTAACGCAATGCGACGCCGAAGCCAGATGCGATAGGCTGATCCGTACACGCTCGGCTGAGCGGTGCGAAAGGGAAGCTATTTTGCCACGGCTGAGCTTATCAGCCCAAACATTCTTCTCACCTGCGAGATGTTCGACCTGGAATTGGACTCTATGCAGGTGAGCCCAGGTAGCTGCAAGGCGGAGATCGCACCCGGCAGCAAGCCCAGAGTGTTTGGGTGTCACGTTCCTGATGCACTCGTGCACGAATGGTCTTCAACTTGCAAGCATGTGATCGGCCAGACCGAGCTATATGCTGCGCTGATTGCTCGTTGGCTTTGGGCTGACTACCTGAACGAGTCCCGATGCATCGCATTTGTGGACCACACTGGAGTGCACAGTGCGTGCATAAATGGAAGCTCTTCGGATTCGACCTGGAGGAAGCTTCTTATGCACCTCGAAGCTGCTGACGAGGCGGCTCCAAGCTTGATGTGGTATCACCGCGTTCCCAGTGCAAGCAACTGCGGAGATGCCCCTTCGCGAGCGAAATGGACAGAGATGACTTACTTAGGCGATTGGGTCCGTGATCGTCCCAAGTGCCCGATCAACTTTGAATTCTTGAAAGACGTGTGACACAGCTCGGATGGAATCTTTTGCATTGATGGTGCTGCCTAGTGAAAGGGGGAATAAAGAGGCTGCACATCAGTTGTGCTGTTGCCTTCGGCACTCTCAATGTCGACGCCATTCGAGTCGACACTCGAACTCAGTACTTTCCCCACTTTCGCAGCTGCGCCGTGGAAAAACATCCGAGTGTGTGCGAGCCTCTTTCAGTCTATTCAAGATACGTATGAACATATTGAAGTTTACTTTTCCAAGAGATCTTAAAGATCCTCTTCGTCTTACATTCTGAAGCCCATATAGCTTTGGGCAATATTCCTGGACTTTTATCAGTCATGTCATATCCGGTTGCCCACGTAACTTGGGCGATATGTTTGTCAAACAAACATCAGGAATTTTTCTATGAAGTTTGGACAACAAG